GGGTGCCTTTGGTGGGCATTTTCCATCAATCAGCAGCCCCAGGGGGACTCCTCTGTGCTTCACTTTCTTTGTCTGTAAAATGGGAGCCATAATTGGACCTACCTCCTTGCGCCGTCCCGAGCTTGTGAGAGCTGATGCTTCACATAAGGATTAGAACAACGCCTACTGGTAGCCAAGTGCCTGGGTGACTCTTGAGCCTGAGGCAGGAGGAGGGCAAGTTTCAGGCCAGCCTGGGCAAAGTAGCAAGACCCTGTCTCAAAATAAAAAGTGCCGGGGATGTAGCTCAGATGTAGAGGTTGAATGCTCTTTGTTTTTATAGGGGGAGGGTACCGGGGATTGAACTCAGGGACATTTGCCCATTGAGCCACATCCCCAGTCTCTACCATAAATTTTGTATTTTATTTAGAGACAGGGTCTCACCAAGTTGCTTAGTGCCTCACCTTTGCTGAGCCTGGCTTTGAATTTGCAATCATCCTGCCTCAGCTTCCTGAGCCGCTGGGATTACCGGCGTGTGCCACCATGCTGGGTAGAATGTTTTTAAAAAACAAACAAACAAAAAACCACAAAGCCCAGAGTATGGCAAGAACACAGTAGATGTCCTTCACAGGAAGACCTGGGAACAGGTGTAATAAGCGTTCCCCACCCTGGCCTGGATAGTGACAGGGCGTGGGAGACTCCTGCCGCTGGGCTTCAAGATTCTGATGTATGGCAGTGGACAGGGACAGGTATTCCAGACAAAGGAGCAGGTATGTACAGAGGCCCAGGGGAGGTGGCCATTAGTTGATGCTGGCTGCATGCGTCTGTCAAAAGAGCCAGAGAGGTTCCAAGTCCAACCATTTCTTTTGTTTGTTCATGCCATAAACATTCATTGAGCTTCTGCTGTATGCTAGGAGCTGGCTCTCAAGCAGGTAGTGTAGCCTCAAGGAGCCCACATGCTGACAGGGATCATCACTGATGAAGTTGCCTTGGCTGCTGTGGGATAGCATGTGACAAGTCTAGGTCTTGCCACATCTGGCAGGCTTCTTTGTGTTCCACTGGAAGCAGACAGAGAGTGGACAGGACAGGGAACAACTAGCACCACTGCTCAGAGGTGGCCAGTGTGGCTGGCAGGCCACTTGGGCTGGGTGGGGCTGGAATCAGAGCTGTCTGGGCTCCTGAGAGTCAAGAGAGCAGCGCCTGCCTTACCTGTGTCACAGCCTGAGTGTGTGGAATTATAGGGCTGCCCAGGGACAGATGCCCTTCAGCAAAAGGCAGAAGGAGGTGGCCCAGGGCAGATGTGGCCCACTTCCTTTCTGCCTGCCAACTCTTTTACCTTTTTTTGGTGGTGCTGAGGACTGAACCCAGGGTGCTCTACACACCAACCCCTTCTGTTTTTGAGACAGGATCTTGCTAAGTTGTACAGACTGGACTCAAACTTGTGATCCTCTTGCTTCAGCCTCCCGAGTCACGGGGGGCTATAGGCAGTCATCACCATGCACGACCTGCCTGCCTGCCTTTCCTGACTGCTCACTGTGCAGAGTATCTGCTGTGTGCAGAGCACCCTCCCAGCAAGTGCAGTTCACTGTGCCAACTGGGGTATCCTGCCACCAACTACAGTGTCACAGGGAGGCTCGGAGATGGTGGGGGTGGCCCTATCATTACTGTTACCCTGTAGGTGTGCCCAGTGATGGGGCAACACAGGGAGAAAGTGCACATGAAGCAGAGTATGGCTGGAAGAACTCCATTCTGAGTTCTGACCTCCAACTTGAGACCCTCTCAACAATTCCTAACAAATGTCACTTGAGGTGGATGTTTGTGTGACCTGCTTGGCAGATGAGGAAACCAAGGTTTGGAGAGGTCCAGTCAGGTATCACAGGCCACACCACCAACACTGGCTCCCTTTGTCAAGTGAGCCTCAGGTGGGCAGGGGTTTTTTCTTGTTCTCTATGTCCCCAGGGCCCAGCGCACTGCCTGGCACACAGCAGGCTTCAGTAATATTAGGGGAGTGAATGAGGAAGTGGACAGAGGCCCCATTTGTCCTCAGAGCTCTCCCACCTGTTCTCCTTCCTGACTGCCGCCCCTGCCCTGTCAGGGAGTGGTGTAGGATGGCACCATCCACTATTCCTGCTTATCAGGGATTCTGTGCCCGACTTTGTGCCAGAGCAGAGAAGGCATTTCTTATTCTCCATCCTGAAGAACAAGCATAGATGTATGGTCCCCAGCAGGGGTAAGGCCCAGGCCTAGCCAGGCTTGGGAGGGAGAAAGGAGACCCCGATAGGTAACTGCTAAAGCATGAATTGTTCAGCACCGAGGACAGCGGGAGACATAATGCCATTTTGATTATCTTGTACTTAAGGGGGGGGCCCTTGACCATGGGAGTTGAAGCCCCCACTGGGGAGCAGGCAAGGGTCTGCCTGTCCTGAGAGGGCCTGGCAGAGCAAGAGAGGCCTTTGCACCCTGTGAGTCTTGTGAATGTATTCCTTTTTATTTGTTGTTTTATATTTATTTGTGTAGACATCAGTGCACTATTATTATAACATTTAAATAGGATAACAGCAGCCAGTTCTTACTAAGCTCTTCCTAGGTTCTAAGATCTTTATATTTATTGACTCAATCTTTATTACACTCATAAGGTAGGTAAGGTGGGAAAACAAGGCAGAAGGAACTACGATGAATTAATCAGGGTTATCTAACCAGTAAGTGGCAGCATTGGGATTTGAACCCAGGCTCCAGAATTCATCTTCTTGACCATATTCTAGAGAGGCAGTAACTTTTCCTTGGTTATTACCCCGGCACCCCAAATTGGGCTCTTTCCCAGAGGATATCATTTCAGGATGGGTTTGCTTCTGCCATGCTCTTCTTGCTCACCTACCCACCCCCACCTCCCCATACTGGGGATTAAACCCAGGGGTTCTTTATCACTGAGCTACATTAAAAATTTTTTCTTTTGTAGTTGTAGATGGACAGAATGCTTTTATTTATTTATTTTTATGTGGTACTAAGAATCGAACCCAGTGCCTCACACATGCTAGGCAAGCACTCTGTCCCTGAGCTACAGCCCCAGCCCCCACCCCAGTTCTTTTTTTATTTTGCTGAGGCTGACCTCAAACGTGATATTCTTACTTCAACTTCTCGAGTAGCTCGGATTATAGGCACACGCCACCATGCTGGGCCTGGCTCACCATTTAAATATGTTTATGTACATATGTAGTTTGATTTTATGGAACTGTTTATATAAATAGAATGTACAGTTTGTGTTCTGTGGTTGGCCTTTTTTTGGTACTGGGGATTGAACTTAGGGATGCTTAACCACTGAGATATATCCCCAGGACTTAAGAAAAAAATTTTTTTTGTAGTTGGACAGAATGCTTTTATTTATTTATTTCTATGTGGTACTAAGGATCGAACCCAGTGCCTCATACATGCTTTTTGCCACTGAGCTACAGCCCCAGCCCCCAACCCAGGCCTTTTTTGATATTTTATTTAGAAAGAATGTCTTGCTGAGTTGCTTAGGGCCTCACTAAGGCTGGCTTTGAACTTATAATCCTCCTGCCTCAGCCTTCCAAGCCACTGGGATTGCAGGCGTGTGCCACCTGGTTTGCCTTTTTTGCTTAATGGTGTGCCTTACAGCTCTCTGGGAGGTGGTAGAATAGATCTTCCTCATCCTTTCAAGCTGCTGTGGAATATTCCAGCCTGCAGTTGTACCACAGTTTATCTCACTAGTTTCTGGCTGGTGGGCATTTGGTTCTGTCTATTTTTTTCCCCATTAAAAACACGGTGGCAGGAGATGCCTCACAGGGAATTGTCCTGTACATGCCTCTCTGTGTATGTCTCTTAAGTGAAAGTGGGATGATGGGTCTGACGTTGCTCTTGGCAGATTGTCTTGTAACCCACCTGGGCTGGCAGAGCGCTTGCCTAGCAATGTGTGAGGCACTGGGTTTGATCTTCAGTACCACATAAAAATACACATAAAGGGCTGGGGTTGTGGCTCAGTGGTAGCGTGCTCACCTAGCATGCATGAGGTACTGGGTTCGATCCTCAGCACCACATTAAAAACACAATAAAAAAGTAAATAAGTAAAAATTTAAAGAATACACGTTACTTCAGTGACAATCTCTGGGCTAATGTTTATTTAAAAAAATACACATAAAAATAAGCAAAATAAAGGTATGAAGAAAAAAAAAGTCAGATCACCTGATGGAACATTGTAGGAAAGTGCCTGTTGCAATGCTGGGTATTATTGGTAATTTAAAATTTTAATCTAATTTTATTTTAGACACAGGCTGGCCTCTAACTTGTGATCCTCCTGCCTCAGCCTCTTAAGTAGCTGGGAATACAGGTGTGCATCACCCCACCTGGCTCCTGCTTAATTTTTGTTTGTTTGTTTGTTTCTTTTCTGCTCTGGGGATTGAACCAATGGGACATCTACCATTGAGCTACATACCCAGCCTTTTTTTTAAATTTCAAGACAGAATCTTGGTAAATTGAGGAGACTGGATTCAAACTTGCAGTCTTCTTGTCTCAGCATCCCGTGAGTGGCAGGAATTATAAGTGTGCTAATTTTTGATGTTGTGTGGGGTGAATAATTTGTCTCCAGTTGGTGGTTTGAAATATAGCAGTCCTGCTTATCCAAGGTTTCGTGTGTGTGTGTGTGTGTGTGTGTGTGGGGGGGGGGGGTCTTAGTTACTTGTGGTCAACCAGAATACAAAAATATTAAATGGAAAATGCCAAAAATAAATAATTCATAAATTTTATATGTGCACGCGTCTGTGTGAGGAAATCTCCCAGGATGTGGAACTAACTGTCCAGTCTGGACATTAGTCATTTGTTTGTTGTGTCCATGCCATATATGCTGCACTCCTGTCACTCACCAACCAGAGCCGTTACAGGGTCGAGTTAGTGTCCCCAGGTTCAGGAATACACTGGAGGTCTTGTACTGTACCCTGGGAACACAGCGGGAGCCCTGCATCTGTGACTCACCTGCAGGCCCAGTTCTCATTGCCCATCTCCATGTCTTTCAGCCTGGCCGCCCCACCTCGGTCTCCACCATGAACGGGCCCACTCTGCAGCCTTCCTCGACCTCCTCCACGCCCTTGGCCTCCTCCGCCTCCCTGCCTGCAGCGGCGACCCCGTCCCCCCGGGGCTGGAGCGAGTTCTGCGAGCTGCACGCGGTGGCCGCCGCCCGCGAGCTGGCCCGCCAGTACTGGCTCTTCGCCCGGGAGCACCCTCACCTGGCGCCGCTGCGCGCCGAGCTCGTGTCGCTGCAGTTCACCGACCTCTTCCAGCGATACTTCTGCCGCGAGGTGTGCGAGGCGCGCGAGGCCCGGGCGCCCGGGCGCGACTACCGCGAGACGGGCCGTGGGTCCCCCACCAAGGCCGAGGCGCCCGCGGCCGAGCAGGACCCCGGCCCTGCCGTCCCCGCGCTGCCCAAGGCCCGCAGCTCGGAGGAGCTGGCCCCGCCGCGGCCGCCCGGCTCCTGCTCCCTCCAGCACCTGCGCCGCAGCCTGCGCTTCATCTTCCGCCGCCGGTCGGCCGGGGAGCTGCCTGCCGCCGCTGCCGGGGAGCTGGCCGAGTCCCCCGCCAGGCCCGGCCTGGCCAGGAAGCTGCTTCCCTGGAGCTTGGCCCGGGAGCCGCCGCCTGAGGCCCTCAAGGAGGCGGCGCTGCGCTACAGCCTGGCGGACGAGGCGTCCATGGACAGTGGCGCACGCTGGCAGCGCGGGAGGCTGGCGCTGCGCCGCGCCGAGGGCCCCGACGGCAGCCCCGACCGCGTGCTGGAGCTCTTCGACCCGCCCAAGGTAAGTCCCAGCCAGCCTGCCACCGCTGGTGATGGGGGGGGGGAGGGTGTGAGCCCCCTGCAGGTGGCTGAGTGCCCAGAGGAAGGTCTAACTAGGAGCCTGTCGTCTCCTTTGATTCGCTTTTTGTTGGTGACACTGCGGACTGAACCAGGCCTCCTGCGTGCTAGGCAAGTGCTCTGTCTCCCACTGCAGCCCCAGCCCATTTAATTTTGAGTTGGGGTCTCCCTAGATTGCGCGGGCTGGCCTGGAACTTGCGGTTCTCCTGCCCCTGATGGGCTGGCATTTCAGGCTTCTGTCGTTTTGGGTTAGTGGGAAGGACGCAGGGGAAGTGCCATGCTGGCACCTGTGTTGACATATATGTTTATCCTAAGTCAGGGGCTAGCCCTGGCGGCGTTTGCCTCTTTGTGCAGGATGGTGCCAGATGCCACATGAGGTTTAGCTATTGTCCCTCCTTAGGCGCCCCCTGGCCGTTTGACATTTTTGGTGTTCAGGTCGAGGATTCCCTTGGGTGTCAGGGTTCGTGGTTCACGTGTGGGGTGGTGGCAATTTCGCCCAAAGTCCTTGAAAATTCTGACTGAACTGATAGTGACAAATAGGTGTATTATTTCAAGAGGTTTCAGCGCTGATTCCTTAGCACCCCCTGTGCTTGTCCTTGTCTTATTTTTCTTCCCAGTATTAAAAACTTGTCCTTGGGCTGGGGATGTGGCTCAAGCGGTAGCGCGCTCGCCTGGCATGCGTGCGGCCCGGGTTCGATCCTCAGCACCACATACCAACAAAGATGTTGTGTCCGAGGAAAACTAAAAAATAAATATTTAAAAAAAA